GAGTGAGCCTTTGTTTCCATCACCGCCTCAAACGAGGTCCAATCGGCGGAAGTGCAGGAGGCTTCTTTCGGCATAGCCCACTTCGAGTACGACGCAGTGCCTTGACCAGTCCTGGTTGTATCAGGAACCACCGGTGTTTTTCGAAGGTAAGCGCTAGATTGTTGTACGTTTTCGGATATGTTCCGCCGCCATTAGAAGCCGTTTGACCCGAAGCAGCACCTGTATTAACCTGTATAGGTTCATTACGGTCGGTGCCAAACTGAAGCCCGGAGGTTTGAAACATAGTCGGGTGCTGATAAAGCTTGGTAGCACAGCAGGTATCATGTGAATCCTGCGCCTCATGACTATACACCTTGTTCCGGTCCTGTCAGCATGGCAGAGCCACACTGAGGTTCAAGGAGCCCTTCTTCTTGGCTCTAGCGATTTTTCCTGGAGTTCTCGCCCGGTTCTTGGCCCACAAGCTGCGCATAGCCTTGCTCATAGGCACTGAGTCATGAGCCCGATCCTGCCCTTAAAAATTGGTCAGTTTTCTGTGAGACCTTCGGACGGCATGGCACCCCCAGACAGCTCGCATATCTGTTGCCTCGAGAGTGGAGCGCACCCCGTTCCGAGGAGTGGACACAAAAATCACGTGTGGCCGGCATTTTTTGTTGCCTCACACTCTTCAATATGATATGAGGATGCGTGATAAGGTGCAGCGAAGGCTGACGTTGCCACAGAGTGGATCGTTTGTTGCCATACTTTCAGGATTTCGATTCATGGGCCAAGCCACAGCTGCGCAAGGTAGGCCTATCTCCGCATAATGACTTCACAGGTGGAAGCTCTGGCAAAGTCATGTGGTAAAGTTTGAAACTGTCCCTGCCAACATCTGCGGAAGGGTAATTGACTCTTTCAGAACTGTTTAGCCTATGGTTCACACCGAGAATTTTTCATTAACTGCAAGTATCTGTCTGATGCATGGTACCAGAGGCAACACAGGGCTCGCAGAGGCAGGGCCTTGTGGTTTCACAGCTCCTGCGCCAGGAACATCAAGATGCCTTGGGAGAAGAAAGCTCCCAACCTGCCAAGCGCACAGATGTCATTGCCAGCGAGCCCAGTTTCTGCTGCGAGTTCTTGGCTTAATGGATAGAGTTCAACAGGAAGTAAAACGGATATGCAGTTCTGTCCAGCCAGTGCCCCATTCACGGTCCCGTATTTCGATAAGCTTGTCCGGAGAAACCCGAAGGGTTCGAACCGGGTTACTATAGGGGCCCAAATGGTCTAAATAATTCCCAATACCATTCAGGGTTAGTTACAGTTTTGTATACCCCCCCAAACCCTAATTATTTTACTATTGCAATTTCGGCTCCAGCTAGTGCTCCGGCTCGACAGCCCTCCACACCGGCTGACATGTCAGGAGCCCAGTGTTCTTTTCATGAAGGTCATGATAGCATTTCCCTTGTTCATGAGATGTTCCATGGTTCGACTATTCGGGAGTAGATTTTGTCCTCCGCCAATTTGCCAGAGACTTGGTCAGCGTAAGGTTGACTACACACATGAACGGTGGCAACATCTCTTCTGTCAGCATGCATGTGCACATCGTGGTTCATTACGCATGCTGAAGCACAGATGGAGTTGCGTCCTAGTCCTAGGCAAAGACAGATCATTGCTCCTGCTACGCATTGAGTAGTAGCGCAAGCAAAAGAATGTATCTGAGCACAGCAGATCACGCATGTCACCTGTACCCCGCAATTGGCATCGTTGCTCTGTCTCCATTGGCTCTATTTCAAGAGTTGATGTAAACGAATGTTGGCATGAGATGAAAGTCTCAAAGCTCGAGAGCCGGGGCGGTTTGATGGGGAACAATCGACAAAAATGTACAAACACCGTCGTAATTCCACGCTTGTGCTTGACAGTGTAACAGTGTAGCATACAGACTTTTTTCACACAGCCCAAATCGCCCTCAAGTAGTTTGTTCGCAGGTTCCAGGGCAAGTACGCCGGTGCGGATGAATCAGGCGGCTGGTGGCGGTGCTTCGGTATGTTTGGTAGTAGACTGTCGCAGACGGGCCGAATTCTGAAACGGGCAGAAGCTTCAAAGCATGCACGCTGCATTTTGCTAGAGCTCCAGCGTACTCGGAAGGAATCAAGGATGAATCTTGGGTCTTCGTGTTGGTAATCATACAGTTGAGGTGGAATGTGAGTTTCGACAAAAATCAGGGAATGGATCTTCTGTGAGAGCAGCCCAAAGCTTGAGGATGTCTCGTTCTCTTCCGAGGGTCCTCCGAGCTGCTGGGCTGCTAGCAGCCACTGCAGCCGCCGCTGCGGCTGCCTGGACAGCCTGGGCTGCAGAAGCCAAGGAGGATTTCGCCAGTTTTTCAGCAGGGCATCTCCGGTAAGTTGGAGTTTCAGAAAATGGGAGACTGAAAGGCCTTCTAGGCCCGAAAGACTAGTGCCCGGTATAAGGGCCCCCGCGAAGGGACGGCTATTTTTTCGGAAGCGACCACATCCAGGTGCTGAAGATTTGGGATGAGATGCGCGATTACCTCGCAGCTTCGGATAGGAATCCTAACAGTCTAACAGTTTGAGTGGTGCCGTAGGGCTATAGTTGCTTCAGGGACTCCGGATATGTTTGGGCAGGGTTAGTCAGTGGCCCCGTGTTTCCGAGCCCTGAACTTGGTGATGCGAAGCTGAAGCTTCGAGTATTGAGCGGCTTGGCCGTAAAGCTGTTCGGTGTTCAAGGTTTCAGTGACGGCTTGGCGTATGTCAAGTAATCTGTTTCGTGGACGTGAAATTGGCCCGAGAACAGGGATGAGGGCGTTGCTCCCGCCGTGTGTTGATGTAGTCCTCGTCCTCCTGGTTTCCGGCCCGCCACCTCGCTGCCTCACTCATCCGGACCCTTGAGGAGGAGCTGCTCCTCAGAGTGCTGTCGGAGCTGCAGCGCCGTCTGTTCCATGTGGCCAGGGATGTGGCAGTGATCTCTCAGGCAGCCAAGCCGGGATAGTATCGGGCTTGCTGCCAAGCCAGAGCTGGAGAGAGAGAGCGAGAGAGCCTAAACCTAAACATGCACTAGTGCTGTGGGAGATGACATGAACGAGAGACTGAGAGGCCAAGAGAAAAGACTGGCAAAGAAGATGTGACGCTGCCCTCATGCATATGATCCACTGCACGGTTGCAGCCGTGTGACTGGCATGTGGCTGCAGGTTTTGTTGTGGGGGGCTTTGGGGTTGACCGAGACAGAGAAAGCGCTCGAATTTCAAAGCTTCTTGGGTCGAGATTCTTCAATTGGAGTTGTCTCCTCTATCTGGTGACTTTTGGATATCATGCGCGCTTTTTAATAGCTCGGAGTGTAGTTAGTCTGGTTTTGCATGGTCTTCCTGGACAGGTAATGCTCCGAGCTGACAAACCTTGTTTCTAAAATTCCGTTGCAAGGCCTTTTCCCTACTGGGTCCGGTACTTTCGAACGATTGAAACTTCGATATTTACATGAGTCGTCAGAAAACAACCAAAGTTGCCAGCTCTCTCTTGGCAGAGGACGTCCGTCAACATCTCAAGGGTCAGGGCGTTCACATCGACGAAGAGCAACTTCGTCGGGCCCACAGTGGCTCACAAATGACAGAATGCAGCAAGCCGTGGAAGGGGTCGGAAGAATTAGTAATACTGTACCTTTGGGTTCGGGTTCTCTTTCTTGTGTATGTATGCACCAAAACCCTGTTCTAATCATGAAGGCCCCTATGTCATAGAACTCTCATGGTGGCCCTGAATAATGGACTTCTTGAAGAAGAAGCCTTCAATATTAGGGCTTATGAGGGCTTAAGGGTCTTAGGGTTGAGGGTTTAGGGTGTAAGGTTTAGGGCTTAGGGACCTAGGGTTAAGGTTTAGGGCTTGCTTTTTTTTTGAGCACCTTTTTCCACCTCGCTAGTCTTAGGGTTTAGGGTTTAGGGTCTTCGGGCTAGGGTAGAACGTATAGGGTTTAGGGTCGTAGGATTCAGCGTTTGGGGTTTAGTGCTTTGAAATGATGCAAATGCACACAAACCGGAAGTCTACCAGACAGAACTGCTGCTCAATAGTGCAAGGCGAACACATCGAACTCAGACACCTCGCCCGGATTGCCCAAGCTGCGAGAGCCGAAACTCTTGCGAGAGCGTCGTAACCCCCAAACCCAAAACCTTCAACTCTTGCCCCTGAACCCTAAACTCTGGGCCTGCAGTTGCGAGTGTGTGAGTCGAAACCCAGAGTTCAAAGCAAAAAGCGCTTATATTGCACACCGAAGCCCAAGACCCAAGAGCCTAACACCCTAAACCGTATGGGGCCCAGGCAAAGAGTTGGCAGTCGAATGCCGTGGCCTCGGCGCCCTTCATCGGAGACTCTTAGAGTTGAGTTTCAGGAGCCCCGGCAGACGGTGGGTGCTGTGAGGATTTGTGGCTTTCGGGTTTAGGGTTGAGGGTTTATTTTTTTGGGGGCTTAGGGCTTCTAGGGCCCAGGGTTTAGGGTTTAGGAAGGGTCCTGGCATATGCGTAGTCCAGGTGTAAAAGGAAGGCTTCGAGTCCAGCTTTGTACCCTGGAGTGCTGTTGAGGTCGAATCTCGGAGAAGTTCAGGAAAATCCAGGCCAGCGGCTTGCTTTGAGCTGTCCAACCCTCATACAAAGGGTATAAGGGGAAAAAGCAGCGGACCCCTGATATATATCCCTCAACGGTAGGATCCTTACTATAAGGACCCCTAAGTTCTGCAACCCCAATATCAATTCCCAGAATTCCAAACCCGAAACACCAAACCCTAAGACTTCAACCCCTTAAATCCTAAACTCCTAAACCCGCTTGTGTACCCCGACCTATAAGACCCTGCATCGTAGGTTCGTCCTTGCCAGGCGAGAGGCAAAAAACACAGCTCAGACCGTCAGAAGCCGTACCAGCGCAGTGCGAGTGTGCAAGTCGCAACCCTGCCGTTCTCTGGCTCAAGGTGAGGCGTGGACACAGATCTAAAGCTGCTGAGGCTGAGCGTAGTCGCCTCTTTCAGCGATTATGGCAGGCAAGAAGGTCGTTGTGGTTGGACATGGCCCCATTGGTCATGCCTTCATTGAGAAACTGGCTGAGAGGGAGGCCGGGTTTGAAATCACGGTGGTTTGCGAGGAGCCTCGTCCAGCATACAATCGCGTCATGCTGACACAGTATTTCTTGGACTGCGACGGCGACAAGCATGACCAGATGAAGTTGTCTTACTGGAGCGAAGAGGAGTTGAAGAGCAAGAATGTCAAGCTCGTCTATGGTCGCGCGACCAGTATTGACCGTGACAACAAGTCAGTTGCCTACTCAAAAGTCAGCCACGGCGGAAGCTCTGTTGATGCAGATACCGACTCATTGAAATATGACATCCTGGTGCTTTGCACTGGCAGCTTCTGCTTCGTTCCACCAACTCCCGGCTTCGTCTTGCCAGAAAAGAAGAACCCTCAGTGGCCAGATGACCCAGCTTCTCGCCCGGAAGGCGTCTTCGTGTACAGGACGATCGAAGATCTTGAAGCACTCATCGCTGCAGCAAAGAAATCCAAGCGAGCAGCCGTGATTGGGGGCGGTCTCTTGGGCCTCGAGGCTGCAAAGGCGGTGTATGATCTCGAGATGGAAAGCCACGTCGTGGAGATGGCCCCGTACCTCATGCCGACGCAGCTCAACGAGGAAGCTGGCAAAGCCTTGGAGAGGAAGATAAGCAGCCTAGGCATCCATGTGCACAGTGGAGCCAAGATCAACGAGGCTGTCCTGGATGGTGGCAAGGTCAAGGGCTTGAAATTCATTCCCCATGG